GGCCGAGCAGCTAAAAACCTACCTTTTTCTTCTTGGTTTTTCTAATTTTCTGATTTTTTTGTGTTTTTGTTTTATAAAATACCTGAAACTAAAAAGAAAAAGAAAATATAAATTGTAAAAAGGAAAAGAAAACTAAAAGAAAGAGTACCTAAATGGGTTGCCTCCCATTAAGCGCTTTTGTTTTAAGTCGTTTAGCTAGACGTAGGCATGAAGAATCAGGCTGATTTGAATGGCACTCCACTTGATGTGCCCTTATCACTTCTGGTCGCTGGAGGTTTTACTTCTTCTCCTTGAAGAGCCGTCTTCTTTGCTTTACTCTTCTTTCGGACTTTAACATTGTTTAAAACCCTTTTTGTGTTTTTGATCAGCCCCTGGATTTGGTCCTCACTAGTTTCTATTGCATCCGGTGGAATGATGATCTTGATCTTTGCAAAAGCTTTCAGCTTCTCCTTTTCTTTCTCTTTTGGCCGGTTTCCTTTGCTTGGAAAATCATCTAGGATAGTCGGATAAAACCTTCTGCGATCTACATTGAGGAAAACAGCATGCCGGTTTGCGTGATCGATTACTGCTCCTACGGTAGCTAGGAATGATCTCCCGAAAATGAGTGGCCTCTCCTTGTCTTTATCCATCTCCAGGACTTGGAAATCTGCTGGAACAATTTTGTCTCCAACTAGAACTTGTAGATCATGAATCGCCCCTTCAGTATCTTTTTGAGATGAATCTCCAAAGATAACTTTAACCGTCGATGTCCTTAAGGTTTTTATGCCCAATTTTTTGGCAAATGTCTTTGACATGATGTTGACATTGGCTCCGGAATCGCACAGGCAGTCTGTGAACTTGATTCCTGAAATGAAACATTGGAAAACAAAACATCTCGGATCGTCGGCTTTTGTAAGCCTTTCAAACGGTGATCGTTGAGGTACCTTAAATGGTGGCTGCTTGGCAGCGACATCCTTGTAAAGTGGTACAAAGATTGGGGTTTCTTCTTTCTTTCCATCGGTTCTGGCCTCTTCTTCGGGCAATGTGGTTATGGCGTTGCAAAACCTCTTAGGGTTATCTTCAACTCTTCCTGGAAGAACTCCACTTTGCCTCTTCATAGAGTTGGCTGTTTGGGCAACTTGCACGTCTAGCTTTTTGACGTGCGAAGATAAAGCTTCAAACTTCCCGTTCAGGTCATTGTACATGCAATCAACCTTCACGTTCATGTCTTTAGATGCTTTTTCGTTCGTCATAACGAGCTGTTGGATGGACTGTTCAAGTCTACCGATTTGTGAAGCTAGCTGGTTCGTCGTGACTCTCTGCTGTTGTACAAATTGATTGTTAAAACCCGTACCTTGGTAGTTATATGGCTGTCGTGGTTGATAAGCTCCTGTTCCTCCGAAGTTCCCACCTTGGAACTTGTTTTGGAAAGATTTTTGTTGTGGTGGGTAGTACTGATCTTGAGGATTCTCCACATTTGGATTGCGGTAAGACAGATTGTTGTAATTTGCATTCTGGAAGTTGTTGTTGAAACCATTGTTGAAGCGATTTGGGTATGGTGCTTGTGCTCCTACATAGTTCACCTCTTCTTCTTGAAAGGCTTGATTAATGTGATCGATATCACTAGGTCATTCATCTTCTGCGCCATTGTTGGTCTCACAAGCATGGATTGGGCGATTGTTGCTCTTCAAAAGCTGGCTCATCATGTTCTTCAACTCGGTCATCTCTTTGTTGTGTGTTCCGATTTGCTTCGTCGAGCGATCGTATTCAGGACAATCATTGCTATGGGCTTGAGCCAAATTCTCGATGAGGGCTCTTCCTTGTGCTATCGTCTTTTGTCCAAAATCTCCATTGCTAGCTGTATCAAGCGAAAGTTTGTATTTTGGTTGCAAACCTCGGTAAAATGTGCTTAGCATGCTTGATCCAGAAAATCCATGGTGAGGGCAATCACGTTCATACTCCTTAAAACGTTCCCAGGCTTCATAGAAAGATTCAGTCAGTCCTTGCTGAAAGCTTGAGATCTTTGTTCTCAACAAGTTCGACCTTGACTTAGTATAGAAGTGATTCAGGAAAGCAGTTTTACACTCTTCCCAATTAGTAATCGATCCTGCAGGCAAAGATTTCAACCAACGGTGAGCTTTGTCTGCTAATGAAAAAGGGAACAACTTACACTTTAAATAGTATGCTGGAACTTGGTTTGTTCTCATCATGCTGCAGATCTCTTCAAATAGCTCGATATGGTCCATTGGGTGTTCAGAAGGAACTCCATGGAATTGGTTTTGTTTCACCAATGAGATGATTTCAGGCTTGACTTCAAACTCATTCCGGTTCGGAAATGGAACTTGAATTGCAGATCGGTTCTGAAAATTTTGAGTAGGTAAATCAAAATCAGCTATGCGATGGTTCCTGGCTTGTCTTCGGTGTTGATTTGTTGGCTGCACAGGGCGGTTAGCGCGCCCATTCGGCTGCATTCCTTGGTGGTCACCATCGGCTGCATTGATAGCTGCATCAAGGTCTTCACGCTCTTCTCTCTCGCGGTTTTGGTGGTTCCTAGGAGGAACCTCATCCTCCTGTCCATCTTGTCGAGCATGATCACCTCCTCTGTGATCATTCTCTTCATTTTCTCCATGTTCGGACCCGTCTTGGTCCATATTTAAAGCTCGGTTAATAGGATCTCCATGCTGGTCGTCGTTGGCCATTCCTTGCGTTCGTCTAAGTCTTCGAAGTTCTCTTTTGTGTCTGTCTATCTCGTCTAGAATTGGAATGTTTTCTACAAGTCTGCACCTGGTATTCATGCAATTCAGAGAAAAACAAAAGAAGGGAAAGATAATTCAGCAAAACTTTAAGAAAGAACTAGAGATCAGGTGTCTAGAACAGAAGTTAAAACAAGAAAAATAACAAAAGGCAGCGAAACAAATCCTCGGCAACGGCGCCAAAAACTTGATGCGTGTCAACTGCGTGAGGGAACAAGTTTTACCCTTAACACAAAAAAATGAAAGCCGCAAGTGCACAGCTAATCAGTTGTAGTATTTAGGGATCGAATCCACAGAGATTTGTGTGCCTGGTATTCTTCTACGGTTTCTAACTTGATGTCTAGACTAGATTGGTTTTAAAGGTTGGTTGTTTTTCACGGATTAAACTAAAACGAAAGAAAGCAAATAAATATATCCTAAGGAACAAGTAGAATAATCGAATGAAAAGGAAGTAAAGCAAGCAAAATATCGAACTAAAGCAATTGAAATGCAGATCTAAATAAGCAAGTAAAAATCGATTGGTTTGTAAACTATGACTAAAAACGCTGAGATTTCGGGAACTCTACAGGGATCATAATCGGTTTTGACACTAGGGTAGATAGATTGGGATTGACGGATATCGATATATAGGGTTCTAGAGCTAGAGTACGGCGGTATGACTATGTCACTGTCGTGATCATAACCAACTGTTTCTCGCAACCCTGACCAGTAGGTTTCCACTCTGGCCCTGGAAGGGAGAGAACACAAGAGCTGCACAAGACTCGTTAATACTCACGATCTCGCCGCAGGTAGGTTTTCACTCCTACGAAAAAATCGCATCTTTCATTCTAGGGCTGATACTTAATGAAAACTTTCGCAACACTAACTATCTAGATCAGATACTAGGTGATCAATCAAGCATACATGCAATAAGAACAAGAATAAACAGAGAACAAAGTTGAAATCCCAGATCTATAAACCTAGATGTCTTAATCGATTATGAGAGCCCCTTTCGGGAACCCTAAGCCCAACTCGGGATCTACTCAGACATGGCTGAGGTCGACATCATCATTGGTTTTAATAAAAGTAATCAAAAACAGTAAAGAAAAGAGATGAAAGAAAGCTTCTCTATTGAAGAAATCGGACTTGAACAATCTTCTAAAAAAATCGCATAAAAACGGCTAAAGGAAAAGGGTTTCTGTAAAGTATGAAGGGTGGTGTCTAAAAACGACCTAAATGACAAGTATTTATAGTCTTCAATACTCCATGGTCTCTAGGGTTCCGGAATTGAGGCTGAGAATGACTTTGGGCTTCAGAAATATGGGCTTTAGTTCGGAGTTGGCTGGCCGCGGTCGGGAATGACGTGACCGCGGGAAATAGGTGGCTGGCCGCGGTCGGGAGGCTTGTGACCGCGGGGAATGGGCTGGTGGCCGCGGTTGTGTGACTTGCTGGCCGTCTTCGAGTGGCTCCGGGGCTAATGGAATATCTTGAGATCCAACCTTTGGAATATCTCCAAACCTAGTGCATTTGAAAGCTGGTTGATTCTTCTATAAGTTGTCCAATTTTGAGGGTGATCAGACGGTGAGAAGGTCTTCGTCTCTCCATGAGAGTTCTGACGGTCTGCATTTATCTAAAAGAGTCTTTTTGTTCCAATTTGTGCCTCTTTATCCCAAATTACCTGAAAAGTCTTTTAAAATCCAAAAACATTGAAATCCTTTGAAAACCTTTGAAAATAGAGGAAAAACACCTGTAAAAGACATTAAAGTGATCCATAAAAATGGTCAAAATCCGGTGTTATCAATGTTCTTAACCATTTATGATGTTTTTAAAAAGAAAATTCAGGAAGGATACTAATAATTTATAAATGAATTCTTAAATTTTAACCAAACCAACTAAACTCTGAACGTAAAACAAGAAACCATAATTGGCTACCTCTAAGAATTGGTAAAAAGGATTTTTGAAAGCCTTATTAAAAGCTCAAGATGGCTTCCTAAATTTTGGTTTTTAAAAAATAAATATATTTAGGAAGCTTTCATAAACATTTAGGAAGGCAATCCTAAATCATTTCAAAATTAGCTAATTATATGAACACAATAGCTAGAGTCATTAATCTTTAAAATGTTCCTACTGAAATCACTAAATAGCTAAAGCAGCTCAATACTTATATTCATCAAATCCAATCTCAAGTAACCATGGCTTTTATGAATGATTTAGAACTATTTAGGATGGCATTACTCAATTTCTTAAAAAGCTTCCTATATGGTTTGAAAACTTATTATACCTCATAAAGACGTTTTGCACGCATTCTAACCAAGAAGTGTCTATAACTTCTTAAAGTAACATCGTAAATGTTGATAAAACACAAAACACACACACTCACACTATATTTACACATCTCCGTATACCTCCCAAAGCATTATACAAAAGAAGTTACATTTCTATTTATGAATTAAACCATCCAGTGACTCAAAAGCTCCGGCATAAATCTTTCTAATATTATTTCCATCAAATCAGAAACCTGAGTCTTCACTTCTTCTTTATAAGCTAATCGCTGGATGCTGATATTGTAACCTACTAGAGGAACAAAGATTCTTCTTTTTCCTTCTAATCTAAAAATACTATATCCAAAGCCACAGGCTTGTCTTTGTTGATGAACTAAATGGAAAATTTGATGTCAAAATAATGGGTAAAATCACAGAACTAAGAGTCGCAACATGTAGTTTCCGGTTCCCAGGACTACCAAATGCAACTCAAGGAGGTCGAGAGGGAGTAGGGAACAAGAACATTTGTGTATGCTGTTGTGTTTCAGTTCTCATTGCACACATCGTTCTTAAATTTCTCGTTATCTGCTTCCTTACGGTGCTTTCTTCTCAAATTCAACTTGCTTGCTGTTTTCCTTGTGTGACTGCACAAATATTCTAACAAAGGTTGTGCAGAGTTGATACAACTGCAGATTCAGAATCAAACACAAAAATTTGTTTCTCATAGGTCAAGTTAGGGACAGAAAGAATATAACTCTAAAACCCAAATGGAGAAAACAAGAGATAAGAGGAAAAGAAACCAAATTGGTTCTTGAGTTTCATCAAAATGTTACCTTGCTCAAATGGGACACGAGCTAGATCCTCACCGAAATGTAACGCCAAAGCAGCCGCGCGTCCACCCTGAGACATCCATGAGAAAAACATCCGATGAATATCGTTTCTCTTATAGAGCTGGATCCTCAAGTTTTTCTTACTTTCCTTTATCCAATTTCACTTTGTCTCTTATTCATCTTGAGATTTAAGATATGTTTTATCAAATAAAAATCGATCTTCATCACAATCAATATTCATTCCCAAGGATGAAATTCCAAAAAGCTATGTGGAAGACAAAGAGATTGAAGATGGAAAGATCTATTTAGGATCGCAAACAGAGGAAACTTCAAAATCAGAATCCCAAACAATGGCCTCGAAATCGAAAATCAAAATCACTAATTAAAGAATCGTGATCAAAACCGTGAATGAGAGCTTCGAGATTTAATATGCTGAACGAGGTCGACAAAAGGGATCTTTGAAAGAGAGAGATCGGCGAAGGATAATGATTCTGCATCGGACAAAAAGAGAGATATTGGCTGAAAGAAACGAGGAGATATTTAGAGTAATGCTAGTTTGGTCCCCTTCCAAATGAAGGGGCTATTTTTCAGAAAATTAAGTTTTTTGAGGCTATTTTGATCAATTTCTCTTATACCTATTAGTATAACTTTAAAACTAAGTCGATTTTTTTAATGTATATTTTAAGGTGGACATCAGAATTCTAAAGTCTAAACCTTATGATTTCTCTATTAAAAAAGGTAACACCCTGATATGTAAACACTCTGATACACACATGAATTTTGCTTCGGATTTAGTTTAAGTTTTAGGATATTTTTTTTAAGAAGAACAATATATATATATCCTTTTAATTTTTAGGATATATTTGATCAAAGAATATAATTAGGGCTTTCTCTCAGTATCTCTGCAGATATAATTGGATTATTCTTAATTTAGTGATAATGATTTATAATATACAAGAACTATATGTTTGATGGTATCAGTTGACCGAATTAAAACCCAAAAGTTATTCGGTTTTCAATTTGACTTTGATTTTAATTCAATTTTCATAAAAATAACAAGCGACATGCAAATAATTAAGGAGATTACTATTCTCAAAGTGTACATATAGAATATACTTTTGATAGAAATATCAATAAAAACAAGAACCAAAGATCCCAAAAGAAAGGAAAACTGAGAAAATAAATAAGAGGAGAAACTCTTAATTAACTAATAGCAAACAAAATCGGAAAAAAAAAAGAAACATATACTGGTGTAGGTGATCCGAATGTTTAGTGATGATGGGATGTCAATGTGGGTAACAACCTTGTGAGACGGTCCATAGGTGACAAATTTGGAACACTAGGAATTGGTCCGACCACGACTTGAAGCTTAAGCCCAGCCACACAGTGACCTGGCTTCGAGCTTATGAAACAATGAACTTCTGGTTTGGTGAGCCTGACAAGATTTCAGCCAGTATTGTGCACGGTAACAGGTGAATTCGGGTCGCAGTATAAGAATTCCAGATCACTGCTGATTTCTAAGACGTCATTTAATTCTTGGCCGTATTCAAAAAGGAGATTGTCTCCAACATGAAACTCTTTCTCCTTGCTCCACTTGTACTAGTACTCACTGTCATAAACCCTCCATCCTTTGGAGACACTGACCTTGTAGGTCTTTTCAAAAGGAAGGACCTGGCTCGGTGGTGGTGGAGGAACCGGACGTGACGGGTCATGGACGACAAGAACCTCGAACTTCTGTCCGGATGAACATTGAGTATAATTTGACGTAATGAAGAAGTAAGAACCTGGTTCCGTAAGGGGTACATGTCAAAGTAATTTGGGGAAGTGATTTATTCATTAGCCGAAAGGCAACTATATATACATGTAGATTAGTTAACTTTGAGTTAGTAACTAGCAATGTGAGATAAATATTCTAACAAATATTCTAACAACTTAACTATACAAGGCCCAATAAGCCTATTATCTCTTAATACCCCCCTCAAGTTGGAGCATGTAGATCTCGAATGCCTAACTTGCACAAAATTCCTTTGAACGAACGTCTTCCAAGTGCTTTAGTGAAGATATCTGCCAGCTGTTGAGTAGTTAAAACATATTGGATCTGAACAATTCCAGCATGCATATCATCTCTAATGAAATGATCAATCTTCACATGCTTCGTTCTCTCATGAATCACAGGACTAGCTGCAATATGAAGTGCAGACTGACTGTCACAATATAATTTATTGGACCAGAATGTGCAATACCCATCGTTAACAACACACTCTTTATCCACTTTAACTCCTTTAATGCCAAAACCATAGCTCAATACTCTGCTTCAGTTGAAGAGCATGATACAACATCCATCTTCTTTGACTTCCATGATACAAGAGAATTTTCCAACTGTACCAACTATCCACTCAAAGATCTCCTCGTGATTGGACATCCAACCCAATCTGAATCACATCAAGCTGTAAGATGAATATTACAATCAGATTTCAACAAAATTCCCATCCCGGACACCCTTTCAAGTAACAAACAACTCTCAATGCAGTCATCCAATGATCCTCTCTTGGCTCATTCATAAATTGAGACAAGATGTGAACTGAGTAGGTAAGATCTGGTCTACTCGCAGCCAGGTAACACCCTGATATGTAAACACTCTGATACACACATGAATTTTGCCTCGGATTTATTTTAATTTTTAGGATATATTTTTTTTTGAAGAAGAACAATATATATATATATATACACATATATCCTATTAATTTTTAGGATATATTTGATCAAAAAATATAACTAGGGCTTCTTCTCAGTATCTCTGCAGATATAATTGGATTATTCTTAATTTAGTGATAATGATTTATAATATACAAGAACTATAGGTTTAGTGGTATCAGTTGACCAAATTAAAACCAAAAAGTTATTCAGTTTTCCATTTGACTTTGATTTTGTTTCAATTTTCATAATAATAACCACCATCATGCAAATAATTAAGGAGATTACTATTCTCAAAATGTACATATAGAATATTTTTGATAGAAATATCAATAAAAACAAGAACCAAAGAACCCGAAAGAAAGGAAAACTGAGAAAATAAAAAAGAGGAGAAACTCTTAGTTAGCTAATCTCGAACCAAATCAGAAAAAAAGGAAACATATACTGGAGTAGGTGATCCAAATGTTTAGTGATGATGGGATGTCAACGTGCGTGACCACCTTGTGAGACCGTCCATAGGCAACATTTTCGGAAAATCGGTTGTTGGTCCGACCACGACTTGAAGCTTAAGCCCTGCCTCACAGTGACCTGGCTTCGAGCTTATGAACTCCTGGTTGGTGAGCCTGACGAGATCACAGCCAGTCTTGTGCACGGCAGCAGGTGACGCCGGGTCGCAGTATAAAAATTCCAGATTACCACTGATTTCTAAGACGTCATTTAATTCTTGGCCGTATTCAAAAAGGAGATTGTTTCCAACATGAAATTCTTTCTTCTGGCTCCACCTGTAATAGTAGTTACTGTCGTAAACCCTCCATCCTTTGGAGTCACCGACCTTGTAGATCTTTTCTAAAGGAAGGACCTGGCTCGGTGGTGGAGGAACCGGACGTGACGGGTCATGGACGACAAGAACCTCGAGCTTCTGTCCGGATGAACATTGAGTATAATTTGACGTAATGAAGAAGTAAGAACCTGGTTTCGTAAGGGTTATGACATCGTGTCCTGTGTTGTAGACAACTATAGGAAAAGAAGAGTCGCAGAATTGGGACTCCAAAGCTCGGGAGACTTGTGTGACGTTGTTAAAGTTGTGATCGTACTGAAAGACCAGATAATCTCCAACGTGAAATTCCTTACGCTCGGTCCAACGATAATAGACATCGTCTTTGGCAGTCCATCCATCAGAGTCTCCCACTTTGTAGATCGTCGCGGAGTAGCAACCCAAGAGAATCATAGGGGTTGTTATTGAAGATGTAGTGACGCCTGAAGCAATTTTTGTATCAGCGGAACTAAGGCAAGAAGTAGCACGAGGCTGAAGTAAGGAACAAATCAAGGTCTTGAACGCAGCTGGACGCGCAGTTGGACTTGTAGCTGAGCTGGAGCAATGGGAATACGAGTTTTGGAGAGGAGCGGAGCAGAGGTGCATTAAGGGTTAAGGGATTTTCTTGGAGAGTTCTGAGATCAAGTACAGATCGAAAAAACAAGGGAAGCTAGAACGGCAGATCAAGGTGTGTCTTGAGTCTATCTTAAATCGGGTTAGAAAACTTGTATGGTTTGATAAAAGTTTAAAGGAAGAAAACCTTGTGTTAAGTTGTGTCATTGTTCTTGATATTCAACTCTTGCATTTACAATTGGTATCAGAACGGTCATCTGTAATTTGTAAACAGGTGAGATCCTGAGGAGATGGAGAGCTATCAAGAACTTGTAAACAATCAAAAGTGGTTTTGAATGCTGGGAACTATGGGTTCTGGAAGGCGAAGATGCGTTCACTTATCAGAGGAATTGATCCTCTGGCATGGAAGCCGGTTCTGGTCAAGTATGAAGAACCAAAGAAGAAAAATGATGCAATAGGTGACGAGCCCAAACCAGAAGAAGAATGGACCAATGATGAAAGCAAGAACTTCAACTCAAAGGCGTTGACAGCCATTCACTGTAGTATATCCTCTGAGACCTTCATGCTGATTCAGGGGTGTGAGACAGTTAAAGAGGCTTGGGACATACTGCAGATACAGTTTGAAGGAACCACTAAATTCCAAAACGCAAGGAAGGATATGCTGGCTTCGAGGTTGAAAACCTGAAGATGGAGGAGCATGAAACCATTGCTGATTTCAGCTCAAAATTGAGTTTCTTAGTTCAGGAGGCTACAACACTAGGGAAAAACTACAAAGACAAGAAGCTGGAGAAGAAGTTCCTTAGGTGTCTCCCACCCAATGTTTATGGGGTACAAGTCGGCTCTGAGTGTGAATCAGAACACAGAGTCTCTGAGTTTTGGTGAGATTGTTGGAAAGCTGCAGGCTCATGAGATGGAACTCGACGGTGTTAAGAAGCAGAAGAGCTTGGCACTGTCCACTGTCTGCAAAAACAAGGCGCTAGAAGAAGAGAATTGTGAAGATGCTTTGGGACTGCTGGTGAGGAGATTTGACAAGGCCCTAAGACGAGCTGAAAAGTCGCATGGACAGAAAAGGAGTGTACCAGGTAAACGCTCAAAAGAAAACGGTGAAAATAAAGGTGATGTCCAATGCTACGAGTGCAAAGGTGTGAGATACTTCAAGACTGAATGTCTTACCATTAAGCGAAAGAAAATTCAGTGCTTCGATTGTAAAGGTTTTGGTCAAACACAACTTGAGTGTGTGAATGACCAGAATCGCAGAAAAGAGAGATCTATGCTGGTAGAGGAAGACACCGAAGATGAAAGCGATGAAGACATATTGGAGGAAGTAAACAACTTTGTCACTTTCATTGGAATTACTGAAGTTGAGGAAGGTGAGGTCGCATCAGATGTTGAGTCAGAAACTGGTGCAGATGATGAACTAAGTGAGAGCTACAAGGAGGTTCACGAAACCCTGATCAAAATGGGTAAGGAGAACTATGAATTGAAGAAGGAGAATCTCCAACTCAAGGAAAATGTAGAGACCTTGCAGAGGGAGTTGGAA